TGAATTTCATGGTGAAGGACAAAACACACTTGTTCAAATGGACGGATAAGTCAGTTGTTGAAGAAATTGAAGACTTGCAGGAAGTGGTTGACGTGGTGCTCATTGACAATATCCAGTTTCAGAATTCAATGAAAGCTTCAGAGATCCTGCTGAAACAAGATGAGAGCAGAATTGGAGATATGGAAGATGCAATTGCACGTTTTGAAGCCAAGAACATCGAATGCAGTAGAGAATTAAGGATCATAAAAGCTTTGTTTGTGTGTTGTTTGGTGATGGTATTCATGTACCTCACGTCTACATAATTGTCTTTTGATGATCACATTGTTGTTCTGTTTTTCTCTCAAATAAATGTAACACAATATTTGTTGGTGATTACCATCAACTTGAACCTAAATGTTGCAAACACCAAATCGTTTTGTCAAATACCAAATTGTTATAAAGGAGAGAACAACGACTAAATAAGAATATCAGAAGATCCGACCACACACCATTAACTAAATAGGAATATCACATGTTCCTCTCTTGTGCCCTGTCATACCACAACGGCTGCACTTGTGCTTCTTATTCTTCTTTGATCCTTGAGAAGATTTTATCTTGTCTTCTACTGTTTCATACCTTCTCTTGACTGGTCTACCAGCACTCTTTGTTGTCTCTGGTGGTAATACCTTTGCAAGTTTTACTTCGGCTGGGACAGTCCATTCATGCTCTGGAACTGCTATTGGATTAATGCATTCCGCATAGACGGTTCTCCATGTTGCGGTGGAGTAAACGCCATCAGTAAATCTGTGTACTTCCATACCTATGTAAAAAAAAAACAGAGATCAAGTAATGTCTATGTGCTACAAAACACATACCATATAATAGGTCCCAATATCTTTTATTTGCACTTACATACCTCGTGAATAAATTGCTGGAATGGCGTGCCGGCAAGGTATTTTCCCTATATCGTACTTCCCACATGTACATGTTCTCCTTTCCAAATCAACATGACAATCATATGTGTCTCCTTTCACAACCGACCTGTAATTGTCAACCTTGTACACCTGAAATCCTTTTGCCTTCACAATTCTCCTAT